TTTGACAGAAAACAACAAATTTCCGTAAAGCAATTATCCTTTAATTAAAAAATAAATTAAAAAAGAGAGTTTGGAATGGGTAAGTAATGCAATCAGCTTTCCTGCTTTGTTTTTGGAAAAATTAAATGACCCTAGGTATACCTGAAATATTTCTGGAAATCAAAATCCAAGATCACTTCTGTGATCAGCAGTTATTCAGGCCATTAACATCTGCAGCTACAGCTTCATTTATATCTTGGTCCAAAAATCTTCATAATGATGACTCACTGTGTCATCAAAGAAGACTAAATTATGCATTGTATATTCTTTTAAGTAGCAAGTAATTTTATAATACTTTTTACAAGCAATTAAAAGTTACCTTTAGCTAACTGTAATTCACCCAGGATACCTCATCCCTCGATGATATTACAGATGCTACTTCAGATGTGCTGAATTTCTTAAAGATGATCCAAGTGAAGTACCTTTGAATTTATAGATTTGGAGTTGAAAATTAAACATTACCATGACTTAAAAAAAATCTATTTCACTTCATTTTTGTGTACATGGATTAGCAGATATGCCTCATTAGTAAGCAATATTTTTAAGACAGTCCTTTCTCTTTTAATGCTTAGACACAGTGTTTCTTAGCTGAAAAAACAAGTCTTGGTGTTATAATAATTTAGTAAAAATAAAACACTTGCAATTCTTTTCAGTGCCTAAAGTGTTAGTTGCTCAGTTGTGTCCAACTCTTTGCAACCCCATGGACTGTGGTCTGCCAGGCATCTCTGTCCATGGGATTCTCCAGGCAAGAATATTGGAGTGGGTTACCATTCCCTTCTCCAGGGGATCTTCCTGGCCCAGGGATTGAACCCAGGTCTCCCGCATTGCAGGCAGATTCTTTACCATCTGAGACACCAGTGCCTATATACACACAAAAGTCCTGTTTCACTGAAGCCAGGGCAAGTGAGTGATCCTGGAGTAAAACGTCTGATGAAACAAAAGCAATCATGTCAACCATGAAGCAACAATATGTCATTACAGAAGGCTTAAAAAGCTCAATGATGTCAAAACATTTATAATTATTAAATAAAGTATATTTTTAAATCACATGCTGTTTTTCCTGTCAATAGAATATTCACTAACCCTTCCTCTTGAGCTAAAATTCCTCAATTCCTATAAATAAAACAAATCAGTAGGGCCCCCATTCCACACACACATAATCACTGAAGAATAATAAGACTGTAATTAGTACCATCAATGGGAGGGTTATTTGCAAACACATGTATTTTTAAAAGGGGCATTCAATATAAAAGCTAGGAACTATATAGACGTGGTGCGTTCAAATCTTGGCTTGTAACCTTAGGCAAATAATTGCCCAGATATTTGGCTTCCTCATCTTTTTACTTATGGCTAAAACAGTATGATTTGTATTTTGTCAACTCCTTTTAAAAAATGTTGAGAATAGTTCTTTAAAAATTTATAGGGTGAAAAATTTTACGATTTCCTCCCTAAAACATTAGAGAGATGCAAAGGAGAAAAAATAACAAAAATATGGCATTCAGATTTTCAATGAAAATTAAATGTTGCATCTGCAAAATGAATGTTTCTTAACATCACTGAACTGAACATGGAATCAATCATAATCCTATTGTTAGGTAACGGGACTGTGAAATAGTAAGACACCTTGGTAGTTAGTTCTTAGGTAAAAGGTCACTAGAGTGCATTTCTGGCTTTCATAGTCAATCAAGAAAGTCTAAGTGCTTGTTGTGTATTGGTTTGTTGTTGTTTCAAATCCACTTGGTTATGACTTAAGTGAAGTTGTTTTGATCTAAGGGTGAATTTGTTTACACTAAGGAAGGTATGCCAGGATGATGTCATCGACATCTGCTGTTGTAGGTAAGTATTCAGTAGTTCACTCACTAGGGGTGCCTCTGGGGGTGCTAAACAATACAAACATATGGAAGAGCAACTATCAAGTGACGGACATTTAAACTTCAACCACCAAGAATTTGTGAGGACTTACAGAGAGTGTTTAGCCTGGGCAAGTCTACTCTTTGCTGAAAATAGCTCTCTGAAGATCTTGAGACACGATCCTGCCGTGGTCAGGCCACTCTTGGTCCTCAGCAGTGTCAAACTGTGCAGCAGTCTCAGGAAGAGAAGGGCCATCTGTTCCTGCCTTGACAAGGCTACTCCTGCTAGGCAGTGGTACATATCATGTAATGGCCCCTGCAGTTATAACATTTGAGGCAGCAAAGTTTGCCTACCAACACAGGTGCTGTCATCCCCGAACTATATGCCTCAGCAGCAAGGGACCTATGCTGTCAGCTGATATCCAGCTTTTAGTTGAAGGACTGACTCTTCGGATAACCAATTCAGTGAGAGGTACACCTCAACTAGATTTGGACTTTACTTCTTTCATCTCTTCTTTGCCTGGAACAATTGTGTAATCAACCGTTATTGGTTTGAAGCATGTTATTTCTTTATTAGTTTATTAAGACATTATTCTATATGGTATTGGCTTGTGAAATATTATTATTATAAACTATAATTCTCACAGTGAACTAGTGTTAAATAAATTACTAGCAAAGAAAATTTCAGTCCCTGAGCACCATTTTCCCAGACAAAATAGCACTCTAAAGCATGTAGATGCAAACTACAGTCCACTGGTCAACCCCAACCAACATTCTGTTTTTGTAAACAAAGTTTTGCTGGAACACAAACTGGCCATCATTTACATACTGTCTACAGGTACTCTTAGGCTACAAGGGAGAGTTGGATAATTGTGACCACATGGTCAACAATTATTCACTATCTGACTCTACACAGAAGTCTACTGACCACTGCTAAAGCACTGTTTCTCAAGGTTTGGTTTGCATATCTGAATTGTTTGTTCCCAATGAGAAATGAGGAGATTATGTGAAAACATAAACCGATTACGTTACCAAGTACAATGTTTATTTCAACTACTGTTTTTGTTTTTTTTTTCATTGCTAGACTTTCTCAGTGAAGGATTTATAGTCTGGTACAGGTTCTTTTTCTCCTCGTGGATAGGTATAAACAACTCAATGAATTTTAAATACCGCTACTATAAGCAGAAGTGGTATCTAACCAGGAGGAGGAACTACTCCGAGTTCACAAGGAATTACTGTATCATTTAGAGAACAACTTTGGCACAGTGCTCCAGGTTTTTGCAGCATTAGGTGACAGGCTTGGCAATTATTTAAATCAGATTCAGAAAATGGTCCTTACATAGACTTTCTCATCTTCTTGCTCTTCTAAGGTTTATGTTACTCCAAAAATCTTCTCTGCTATAGATTTATGCTTCAACAAGGTGAAGGATGACAGTTAATAAGCCTTTCTTTCCCCACCTTTTCTTAGGAGCAGGAAATATAAAAATATTTACCCCCACCCCAAAAAATATTCAAGAAAATAAGTCAATAATTTATTTTGCCCATTTAGCCTCTTTAATTTACTGAGCAGATAGAAAACTGTATTAAATTATAATTCTCTTGAAGTAGAAGAATTTGTAAAGCAAATCTATTCTCTGTAAATATTAGCAGTTTCCCCTCTGTACTTTAAGTGTCAATTTAAAATAAATCATGCATCAATTAAAGAATACAAAATGCAATCTACCAGTAGCTTTAACATGAAATTTCCTTGGACAATATACAATTTCTAGAGGCGCCAAAGGTAATCTGACTCAAGCAGCTTTCTGAAAAATAAAATTATTCAGGGACAGATTTTTATTGCAAATATTTACTCAAAAAACTACTATATACAGCAGAATTTTAATACCCATTTAAAACATTTAACAGTGAAACAAAATTTAAGAATTCAAAGCACATTTTAAGAAGTAAAAATGTAGCATTTTAAATAAAAGTTTATTAGTACTTCAAAGCAAACTACTGTTATTCATATTATTCATTTCTGTATCTATTATTTTCTATATGATAAAAAAAAAACTGAAAAAGTCAATTTAGCAGCCATCTTAAGGATAAATTAGGCTAAATATCCCAAACCAATTTTTTACATCCTGCTTTAGGTCCCATTTGAAGTTTCTATTTTACAGTTACAGAAAAAGTCACTTAAACATGGCTGAATTCATGCCAGTTTACTGCTTTACAAATATCTACATTAATCTGTACTTTGGTTTGGTTTCCAGACCATGTTTATGGTTCTATTTCTAAGGAAGATCATTAAAACAATATTAAAAGCATAATAGCTACAGGATTTTCAACAATGGATTTCTACTTTATACAACTAGTTCATCAAGGGATTTCTGCACAGCATACACACTGACAAAAAGCACAAATATAAATTTTTATTTTAATAATTTCACTTTCACTGAAAGTTTAATTAAGGTAAGCTTACAGCCTGGCAGGCTAACATTTGTATGGAGGTACACAGATTCAAATATTCTGTTCACATGCTTCTGGCAGTCTGGAATGTTATATTATATTCAAAATTAAGTTTATGTTCATCCAAATTCTCATTAGATCAACTAATTTAGCATTCTAAACATGCTCCATTTACTAGTATCATACTCAAAATGAAGCTCTCATTAACAACGCCAATCAGCTATTATTTTAAATCAATTATTCCCAAAAGGCATGTGGTTTCCAAATCTCTTCCTTTAAGTTAACTGAAAAGGATGTACAGGTAATAACGACTTTTAGCTTAGGACTGATGGAAATTTCAAAAGCTTCATTAACATAACTAATATTCTAATAATCAATTCATATTGATCACCAAGCTCCATGTCCTTGAAAACTGCAAAATGAGACTTTTTCACTGCAAACTTAACTTTCATTAAATCTTACTCATGTTTTAAAAACTTCTTGGAAATTCATACCTAGTCATGCTATTAATGATGGATTGATTTAACAACCTAGGCTCAACATACAGGTAAAATATATGAATGACCTCCCTTACATTTTTCTATGTCTGCACTCTGCAACAGCACCACTGAGCTCACCTGATAGCACTGTTGGTACACTAAAACTTAGAATGCCTAGTTAATTTCAACTTCTTTCTTTTTCATCTACCAGGTCTCCTGTTGTCTCTGTTGTGCTAAGGCTATTTTCTCCAGGAACGTTATCTGTTTGATCAGACACTACAGCATCAGTCTTGGCTGAAGGATCACCACTACCCTTCTGAAGAATCTCTGTGGCTTCAAACTCAAGCACTTCTGATGGAGTCAAAGGTTCCAAATGAACACTGCCTTGCTCACTAACATCAGAACTAACAGATTCATGTTCATCTCTTTTTCTCAAAAACTGATCAATACTAACATCACCAGATGTTAACCGCAAATCGTTAATATTCTTGGAAGGAAATCTAGCTTCACCAGCATTGCGATCCTCAATCTGATCACATGAAATAAGGTTTTCTGAACTTTGGCACATCTTCAACTCTGTTTCCTGACATATGTGCTCTATTTGTTTTTCCTTTTCCACTTTATCTGCATCAATAGCTGAGTCATAACTGAAGATATCCTTTGAGCCAGTTTCCTGATCTTCAAGACAGTTATCATTTTCTTTATCTGAAACAGATCGATCTTCTTCACTTTTTGTTGTTGATGAGCCTTCAAGTAAATGAACATCACATCCATTTTTTATTTCCTCTGAAGAAGCTTCATCTTGTTTACTGAAAAAATAAAGCTACTTATTATCTATTTCTTCATAATACAATGTATTTGAATACTTACTTTCAAAGTAAAGACATTTTCTGAAAAAGAAAAAAAGGCACACTTGCCCACCAAAAAAAGAAAAAATATCAAAGTCCCCAGTCCTTGCCATGATGTTACAATTTAGGAAGAGGCCATTTTCTTAGGCAGCAGAGTGAGGAACTCCACATTCACATATTCAAAGGAGTCCTGGGAAGTTTATTCACTAGTTTTAGTCCTGGTTATCATTACTTTACCTGTTCATACTCTTGCTTGATTTTAGTTAAAATGTGAGTGTGCTTATTAACTTATAAGAGTACTTTAAATAAGGAATGAATTTATGTGGGAAAAATCCTATTTTCTTTTTCTTTGATTTACATGTCCTCTTAGGGTTAGCATGTTTTTCCTAAGCAAAATCAAGTAAGCATTCACAAAGATTTTACTAATTTTGTAACAGCCTAACTTAGAAAAACATTAACACATGTCTAAGAAATAAGTATAAAACATGCACACCTATAGGTTTATGTGTATACATGTCTGTGGTTACTCTTACTCTGATGTGTTAACAGAAACTATTCAGTGAATATAATTTCCTATGCTATATAGTAGAACCCTGTTGTTTATCTATTTTATATATAATAACATATATATGTTAATCCCAAACTCCTAAATTATCCTTCCTCCACCCTCTTTCTTCTTTGGTAACTGTTTTCAATGTCTGCAAGCCTTAGAAACAAATTTCCAAGATGATCTCAGGTCCCTTATATAGATGTGACAATGCTTATTTTACCAAAAAGAAATTTAATGATTTAATTTATCTTATTTCTTACATTAATCCACCTGGAATTTAGACTTTTTTGTAATGAAGTACCTATATATCAAAGCAATGTTATCAAATAGTCATTTATTATTTACTAAATTATATTTGTAAGGCTGTTTCTCTGCTATTTATTTTGTTCTGATATGTCTTTAGACTATTAAAGGCCAATACCATCCAGTTTTAACAATTAGAAATTAACATTGTACTTTATTATCTAATAGGTCAAATCACCTACATTCTACTACTCTTCTCCCTAAATTAGTAGTTTGAAGAAGTAAAAGATATTTGTACACGGATGCTCATTAAAACAATGTTTAGAATAGTGAATACAGAAACAACCTAATATCTAACACAGCTATGATTTTTTAAATTGTGGTATTAATAAATAGAAAAATATGAATCCTACTTGAAACACCACTAGTTTTCAAATCAAATCCAATTTGGATTTTCAACTAAATGCTCATTAACCATAATTTGGAAAAAATGACCTATCACGTAAGTTACTAATGAATTATTTTGTATCTTAGTAAATTTTTTCTGCCAAATCTTCTAAATTGCACATTGCTCATTTTGCTATTATCGTGAATTAACTATTTTATGCATTATATTTTGTAATGACATGCTATGGGTATGTAAGAAAGGTTCGGCTGCCTGAATTCTTTGATTAATTTCAGTCATACTTTGCTCATTTTCTTGGGTCTTACAGGTCAATTACATCATCTAAAAAGTTATAATAGTTCCCTCATTTAAATTTGTAAAATTCTTATTTTTGTTCAGATCTTATTGAACTAATTATAATTTATAGAAAATGTTAAATAATATAGATGTGTCTAGTCTTTTTCCTAAGTCCTTAGTTGAATTCTGTTAACTTTTTCCATCCAAAATTCTAGGAAAAATGCTAGATAAAGAAAGGGCTAGATAATTTTCCTGGTCAAGTCTAAAAAACATCTTCAAAAGGTCTTATTCCATAATTTTCTTTTTAGAGGCAATAGATTGATTAATCTCATCAAGTTAACATGCAGACTATGGTAAAACACACAGCATAAAGACAGAAATGGGGAAAGTACTTAATTAAGAGACAAAGTCATCTTTAACTGGAATAAAGTTCTAATTAGAATGTTGGATTCTCTTTTGCTAAAAAATAGTGAAATCTCATGTTCTAAGTGTTCTACTCAAGAATTAAATAAAAAAAAAAACACATTGAATTTTGAAACTTTTATGTTGAGATCCTACCACAGAGGTAACTTACAACTTTTAAAAAATACTTAAAAATAAGATTTTAAAACTATTTGCAATAATTGTCACCATCTTATAACCTGTAGCATCTTGTAACTATTTTCATTTAACAGAGGCAATTACAATCCACTACCATTTTATTTATTCATATTCTAAAAAAATTAACAACTTATAAAATGGATTCCATATACTTAAAAGGCTTCAAAACTAAGGATCTGTAGTATATTTCTGTTGTATTAAAATTTCAAAATTTGATTTTAATTGAAAGTCATTATAAAAGGAACACCATATACAAAATTTAAATAGCCCTTTCCCAAATAACTGAAATAATATACAGCTTAAATATCATTTTATATACACGAATTTCAAGAGATTCAGTTTTTCCTTATATTTACCTTTCAGAATTTGATGTTTCTGTTTCTTCTTCAGCCAAATTAGATCTTGCAATTTCCTGAAATGATTAATAACATTTTTCTTTTATATTCAAAGCTAAGCTTAAAGTACTACTTTTATTATATTAAACTTTCTAGATAAATAGAACTTAAGTGTGCTGCCTAGTATTCCAAAGAAAGAGAAAAACAATTTCTTAAAGTAAGTTTTAGAATAACTCTTAAAACTAAAAACAGAATTTCAAAAATAGTTTTTTTAAAAACTTGTAAGAATTTCAGTGTACCAAAAGTTTTTGAATCAAGGATATGAAACAGTTACCAGTTATAATACCTGCTTTCCTTAGATTCTTCCAAGTATGAACCATAATTGTAATTACTTGATTAGAAAACTAGTAAAGCACACCTCCAACACGAATAAGTTTCATCCACAGTATTTTATACGCACATATTAAAAACATGTAGTTAGATAAAACATTTAGGATACTATGATTTTATATTTGGAACCACGGCAACCCTTCCATTCTCAAACCAAGTAATATTAAATAATATACAAATGAAATATTTTGATTATTTCAAATGTTTTTTGAGGAGGAAAGAATACAATAAAACCTCAGTAAGAAAGAGGCCAGCTTAACAGTTTATAACAATTACAAATTATTGAGGCTTTATGATGCATGAAGTAGTATATTAAGAACTTGACATTCACTGTCTCATTTAATCTTCATTATTAGATATTATAAACTCCATTTCTACAAATGAGAATAAAGACTGCATGGGTTAAGTATCAAGAGAAAACCCAAGGCAAAACCACAATAAGTGGTGAAGTTTCAAATCTAGGTCCAACTTTTAGTCACTAGAGTTGACTGATTCAAGTCTGTGAAAGTGATCATGGTGTATTAATCACATACATATATTTCCCTGCTCTCCAAAAACACTGCTAAAATGAGGGCAAGGAAATAAAACAATTTCCACTCATAAAGACCAAGAAAGCATCAAAGCATACTAACTGTCAAAGAGATTTCAACAAATTTGTAAATGGAAAGTAGCTGGAGCAATGGCAATTAACTTCACAGTGTGGAGGAAGTATTAACTAAACATCTGAGCAGGGGAGTCAAGGAAAAGAGAATCAATTTTCCCAGAGAAAATAAGAGATCTGGTATTTGGAGAAATTCAGTACAACAGTCAACACATAAAAGGTAAAAATAAAGCATGAATGCTGCTGAGAAACCTAAATACTCTTTCCCCAACTCACACAACAGGTACCTATTCCTTCCTCTACTGCTTAGGCCAAAGGCCAAGTCTCTGAACTGGAGACAGTCTACGGACTTGTGAACACCAGGAATGGCAAAGGGCAGGTATGAGGTACTGAAAGAAAACAGACAAATTTAGTAAACGTCCATAAACTGAATAAAGTGATCCTCATTTATCTCTCTGCCTGGCTCCCATAATGCTAGCAGCCAGAGGAACCACTCATCACTCCACCATCCCCAGCTGGAATCTAGGAGATTCCTCTTTGAAGAAAATTATCAGCCTCAAAGACTTTGAGAGCATCCTCCCTAACAAGAATAAGTCACCTCAGCATCTGATTTTCCTATGCTGAAGTCTAAAAAATTGCCAAGCAGACTGAGCATGTTATATAGCACAGTAATCCATGAAGCAACCTGTACAACATAATCCATGTCAGCAGTTCTCCAAGTTGGTTCACAGACATATGGGGCCTCCAAGACACTTTTAGGAGGCATGTGAGGTTAAAATTCTTGGTACTAAGCAGTAATGAGTAAAAATGCTGATATTTTAACACAAATCAAGGCACTGACATTGAACCAGTCACTGTTTTCTCCACTGGCATACACCAGCAGTAAAATTAATTTTACTAAATGTCAACCCTTGAGTACATGTCTTTTTAATAGTCTGTGTAATGAAATACCAAGTATGCATAAAGTATTGCTGCTGCACACTAAAAACCCTTGGGTCTGTGATTTAGTTGCAAGATGAACTTGGCCAAATTTTTTTTCATGGAACATCATTTTTATATTTAAAGAATGACTGTCAAACTATAAATATTTAGACCTGAGTATTCAGAAGGGATTTCCTTCAAAACTGACAAAATAAGCATGTCACATTAAACAATCAAACAGTGTTTGTTGCCAGTAATAAAATTCAAGAAAAATTTAAATCTTAGGATAACTTGTATCTACTATTCATGAGATAAATGCTAATACTAATGAATGTGATTACCTGATTTGTAATATGAAACATGGCAAAACTTGGAAGATCTATGTGACTTGTGAACCAATATAGTCTAAATGACTAATGCACAATGTTATAAAATCACATATGGATAAAAGATCCAAACAAAGTGCAAGCCTGACCAGAAGATTTTAATGAAACACAGAGTACAAAATGTTCAGTGATATGATTTCACATTGCAACAAAGCTTTAAGAAAACTTCCACATGTCTAATTTTGATATCATAAAAAGAATATCACAATTATCTGAGAAGATACTGATTGAAGCTGGATATTCTTCATATATTTCAATCAAAATATACCACAACAGACTGAATGCAGAAACCCAAGAATCTAAGTTTCCTTCTGCTTGACTAGACATTAAAGAGATAAGCAAAACTGTAGAACAATTTATTCTAAATAGATTTCTTTTTGTTTGCAAATAGTTATTTTTCAGGAAAATATTTATATATTTTAAGTAACAATATTTTAAAAATTTCATATCTTTATTTTCTAGTACCATAAACATCAATACATTTGAGGAGAACTAGGGGGAATAGGTAAATAAAACAGGAATGTACCCTGTGGCATGCTGCAACACACAGCCTGTCCCTGTACAAACACAGGGTCTTTGATCATCTTTTTTGTGTTTTAATCTTTAACCTGAATGAACACTCAAGGATCAGCACAGAACTGAAGACATCCTTTACATTACACAGATTAAAATAAACAAGAGAATAAAGGAAGAGGCTAGGAGACATCAGAAACTTTGCTGGAAACAAAATAAATATATATGACATATATATTCAATATTCCTGGAGGTATGATATATTATTATATCCATTAAACAAGAACAAAAAAACTGAAAACAACTGAAGAACAAACAAAAAACTAAAGAGCAATTCAAAATAAATATATGGCAACTAAAATAAGTAATTAAGTTTAGAAAATCTTTTTTGAAAGACCAAATGAAAAGACAAAAAGATGGAAGGCAAGAAAGAAAATGCCATACAATCAGAGAAGTTGATGCAGGAAGTAGCTGTCATCAATAGGAGTTTCCAAGAAAAAAGGAGAGAGAGAGAACAGAGAAGAAAATAAAATTGAAAATTTACCAAAGAAAACAAGAAAATTTCCCCCAAACATAAATATCTAAGATATCAAAGGCTTATCAAATTTCTACCATAATGAAAGAAAAAAGGATGATGGATGAACGTATGAAATTTCAAAACACTTGAGATAAACATTAAAGTTGCCAAGGAACAAAATAACATAAACACAAAGTGGACCAAAAATGGCATCAGACATAATGAAAACAATACTTTCAAAAATGCATAGGCAAAATGTTTTCTATGAATTCAGCCAAATCATTAATACCATTAAAATAAATACAGTTATAAATTTACACAAAGTGAAAAAAGATGCAACCTTTCTGTGGAAATTGTTAAAGGACATATTTCATCAAAATAAGGAGTAAAACAATAAAAGGACTCACAGTTCAGGAAACAGGACATCCAGCACAACAAAGTGGCAAAGTAAAATCCTGAACAAACCAAGCATCAAGCTTAGAGAATAACTAGTTTAAACTAAAGCCGACTGGAGACAAGATCTCCAGATCCTCCAACAATTTTTTTGGATGTGTGTGAACATTCTGAAAAAATGCTTCCAGACACTGGACAAACTGCAGCATTTAAAAAATAGCATTAGGTGCACAGAAGAGTAAACAAATCAGTAAAAATATAATTTTATCCCAGAAAAATAAAATGAAGTATAGGAAAGAAAATTATTGTACACTTCCTAACTCAGTATAGTGGTACCAAAAATTGTGATGTTGGGATCCCTTGGTGGCTCTGTGGTAAAGAATTAGCCTGCCAATGCAGGAGACACAGGTTAGATCCCTGAACTGGGAAGATCCCAGATGCTGCAGAGCAGCTAAGCCCATGTATCACAGTTATTGAGCCTGTGCTCTAGAGCCTGGGAGCTCCAACAATTGAGGCCATGTGCCGAAACCACTGAAGTCCGCATGTTCTAGGGTCTGTGCTCCATAACAAGAGAAGCCACTGCAATGAGAGGCCTGCACACTCCAGCTGGAGAGTAGCTCCCACTCTCTGCAACTAGAGAAAAGCCCACACAGCAATGAACACCTAGCACAGTTAAAAATTTTTAAAAAATAATTTAAAAAGGCTGTATTATTAACTATGCTGAGATCAGTGCTATGCCAAGCCATATAGTTAACAGAGACAAAATACATATAAAATTTATCATCTTAACCATTTTTAAATGTATAGTTCAGTGGTAGTAAATAGCAATACACTCACATTGTTACACAAACATTACCACCATCCAACCTCTATAATTTTTTTCATCTTGTAAAACTGAAAAATCTATACTGATTAAACAATAACTCCCTATTCTCTCCTCCCCCAGACTCTGAAAACAACCACAAAACTCTTTTGATTACTCTCAGTACCTCATATAAATAAAATCATATATCTTTTTGTGACTGACATTTGATTAGCAAAATGTCCTCAAAGTTCATCCATATTGCAAAATTCTCTTCCTTCAAATGGCTGAATATCCCATGAGGTGCATATACCACATTTTTTATCCATTCATCTATTGATGGAAACTTGGTTTACTTCCATATTTTAGCTATTATGAATAATGTTGCTATGGGAATAGGGGTACAAATATCTCTTCAACTCTTGAGAAACTGCTGGACCACATAATTTTTTGAGGAACTGCCATACTGTTTTCCATGATGGATGTACCATTTAACCTTGCCACCAACTTCCCCGATAGTTCAGTTGGTAAAGAATCGGCCTGCAATTCAGGAG